ACATTAGAGAATAATAAATGTAATTGAACGCAGAGGCTCCCGCTTGGTCAGTGTAATAAATATGGAGATAAACTCATTCTTTGATCGGGGAGTCACTTACTGAATTTCCACCTGCACTTTTTGGGGCTTTTGGACTTTGATGGTTGCAGGTGTGACAGCCGAGGCAGGGATGTGGCATTCAAGAAGCTTTGTGGACATACTCAGCCGCCTCTCTCGCTCGCCAAATAATCAAGACTGTGAAAAGGCTGCCGTGGAGTGCATTAGCCTGGGTTGGAAAACTAAGTAGTTCTGGGTTACGTCTTGATTTTTGAGTGACTTTGAGGAAGTGGACAATCCTGTTGAGTGGATCTCCTTCCTTCACATGATCCACTTATGTCAAAGCGTAGTGTCTGGGTCTCCAAAGAGAGTGAGCCTATATCTTCCTTTGAATAGATCCATCAGACCTGATCCATCACCTGTCAGATTAAATTTAGGGAGGAGGACAGTCTCTAAATTTAGGACCTGGGGATCCAGGTGATAATTGGTGAGGGTTGCCAGTTCCCACTATCCTTTGCATGCAACTGGATGGGGAGAGTTATATCTATCTACATGTCTCTCTCATTTCTCTACCTGTGTGTGTGTCTGTTTGTCTGCTATCTATCAATCTAATCAATCTTTTTAAATAATATAATTATTTATTGATATGTACTAGCTAGCATATATATATATATATATATATATATATATATATCTTACATTATATAATTTAATGACAAATAAATAAAAAACTTAACTATTAAATGGTTCCAAAAACACATCCGGGAGTAAGTTCACTCAGAGAATGTTAACATATAGATGACATACTATTCTCAACAGAGCAACGAATTGATGGGTCACCATGGAAACAGTTGCTAAGAAAAAGTGCTACTATACTTATTGCATATTTCCTCCATTTTTCAATCTTTTCATTCAATAATCTTTAATCACTTTGAACAAGAACTATAGTGAATGTTTGATGCTAATTATATAATTAAACTAAATACAGTTGGTGCATGCTAAGATAACATGGCTGTATAATTATTTTATGTTTAGTTTTTTGCTACCACATTGCTTGAAAGGTAAGATATATCAAATATCATGTCATATCACACCCATTGGAACCTCGTCAGCTAACACCTCTGAAGTAAATAACAATTATGTTTAGAGAGTAGGTTGCCATGGCTACTTACAACGCTGAAAGTTACTTACAGTACGTTTTTGGAACCAAAAGTTGAGGTTACATACCAGGGTTTGTCATATAACCTGCTTTCTGGAATATCCTGATCAAGAAGGGAATGAAATGAGGAACTTAAATACACAGGATGAATGAACTCAATGAAGAACAGGTGACAACTAATTAATCAAAAACCGTGGTAACAAATGAAGAGCGGGAAAATGGCACAAAGGAAAACAGGTAATTGAGAGAAACAAGCCATGAAAACGAAAACAAATCAAGCAGTCAGTGACATTATAATTGATTATTTATTTATTTATATTCATTAAATAATCATATATAGTATCTGTTCATATGTCTATACGCACAGACACACACACACTGTTTTTTCTGTTCTGTGTTCTGTTTGATTCAGCTGAATAAATTGGAGACAAATTGGACAAAATGATGAGACGCAATCCAGATAGATTTACTTTCTGTTTACAGAGTATTATTAAACTGAACATGTGCCACCTAGTGTTCCGACAAATCCAACAGGAAAATGGAGCATACAAATGTTTGATGATTGACTGCTATTTTTATCTCCCTCCGCAGGAAAACAGTTCAAATCCAATGACTGACTGAAAATGAAAGACGCGTTCAGAGCTTGTGTGACAAAAAAACAAATCAATGATTTTGAAACTTTCTGGCAATAACACAAAAGGTAAAAAATTGATCAATCACATATTTTGTACTATTTTGTGCTGTAATTCAATTACAGAAAGGAAGGGGTCTTAAATGTTACACCTCTCTCTAACTTAAACTAGGTGGCAGGGCTGAATTTTTGTCAAGCTGAAATATTAAAATGATTGTTGCTAGGGAACTGTACCAAGGGTCCATCCCATAATAAGACACGCAATTAGCTATGCCTGAAAAGCGCGTATAGCCCCCGTCAAAAGAATAGAAAGCCATTATCTTCAACCTCATTTCCAGGTTTTGCTTTGAGGAGTGAGCGTTCATTATTTTTAAAGGGGTCATACAATGCCATTTTCATGCAAGTCAGTTTGATTCTTTAGGGTCTAAATGAAAAGTTTGTAATATAGTTTAAGTAAAAATGTAAAGTATAAAGTATATTAAAGAAAAAACTCATTTCATCTGGTCAAAAACAGCTCTGTTTTCATTACGCCGTTTTAGTGCATATGCCTTTAAATGATAATACGTTTTTTTCACTCCACCCCTCTATTTTGACAACAGTTGAGGGTTTATTTTGGAGAAAGAATGGCAAAGGGAGTCTCTGAGGACACGTATCAGTTTGAACCGGAGTCGGACCTGGAACAAGATGACTGCCACAAAGTAGTGCGACAAATAAGGCTCGAACAGGATGTTTCATGAATGGATGGTTAACATAATGTCACTTTGATCTATCTATGTATGTACTGAGAGGGTCACGTTAGAGTTACATAGTGAGATGTGCGAACGCTATGTGTTTACTGATGTATACGTACTCAGTTTGTAGTAACAAAAAAAACGTAATGTGTTGTTCATTATAAACATGGGATTATGAATTATATTAAGAATGTCATACAAACATGGCGTAATGTGCCCTGAGTGTAAACATTAAGGCCTGTTCACACCAGGACGAATTTCACGTGCGATATTCCCCAGACAGCAAACTGACATTGAATCAACGTGGAAACGACGTCTCTCATGACATTGAAACAATGTTGATTTTGCTCATCGAATTAACGTTGAACCAACGTCAGACGCGGCATTCTTCAAAGCTAAATGAAATCGAAAATTGGTTTGCTTTCATAACGTTGAAAAACGCGTTGATTTCAAGTTGATTTTCCGTTAGTTTTGAAAGAATGACGCGTCTGACGTTGGTTCAACGTTAATTCGATGAGCAAAACAATGTCAGATCAACGTTGTTTCGATGTCATATTTCCACGTTGATTCAATGTCAGTTTGCTATCTGGGAAGTGACATCGCCAACTACTGGCCTGGTGGCATAAAACAGCATTTTTAGTCGTTTTCACAGATCCTTGTGAATGGTGATCGTTTTGACGTCTGTCCGCGAAAAAATGCGAAGGAAAAACATTTCCATTTTTACTACAGTGATTTTGTATAAACAGACCCATAGAAATGCTATGGCCATAATCAACTAGATATTTTTTAGTAGGCTGACATGACTACAGTGTACATGTTTTCTGTAAATTAGGTAAATTACACCTTTAAGACACATTAAGACACATAGTTTTTATCCAAATGTACAAGATTTATTTTTGTCCAGAAGAGCTTTTTGCTAATTTTGTTAGTGGAATTTTTTTTTTTTTACAAACAACATAATATTATATGGTAATTAAACAATTCATAAAGCAAGCTAAAACACACCGCAAGGTCTTCACAATATTGACAAAAAAAAGCTACCCACCGACTCTGACGTTGGTCCAAAATGTCACCACAAGTAATTATAGAGCACAGTGAGTTCAGATTCATATCTTTAAATCAGTTTGGCTCATTAATGCTCACAGATGCTCATTAATCATCTGCATGCCCTCAACGCAGAGAAAGAGAAACTCACAGCTGGGGTGATTCTCTGTTACAGATAGTTCTTTGTGTATTTATATAACTAATAAGTCATAGATTCATAACTGAACATGAAACCATTCAGTGTTTTCATGACTATGAGGCTGAGGCAAGACTTTGGGGACTTAAATTTATACAACATTTGTTGAATGATATTTTGTTGATATGTTGTTGTTGTTGTTGTTTTTTTCCTGAGAATCTTATGGGCATTTTAATTGTAAGAACTCAGCCCATATAGTGCGATATCATGCTATTGGTGCATGTTGTTCCAAAAGATCAATATGTGTTTAATGAACTGCATTTTTTCCCTCAGCAATAACAATAAAAATGTCCAATGTAAAAAAGGTGTGACACTTGCCTCAGGCTTCCCTATTTCACTACTTGGCAATGTCATTGAAGAGATAAAAGTGGCTTAAATTGACAAATCTGTCTCATCTAAAATGGTTTGGTTAGAGGAACAATGTCCTTGGAAGAGTTTCAGAAAATTGCAGGACTAATGATTAATGGTGTCTGACTAAAATCGTTTTACTATAAGGTATTCTCTCTGCGTGCAAGGAGCGTGCAAGTTATTTGTGATGCCAAAGTACAATAAAGTCCAAACCCTAAAACAACATCTGTAAGGTATATTGATTGTGAAATGATGCAAGAATATAAAAATAGGGGGAAAGAATAACTGACATATATGAATAATAAATAAAGATAAAATAATTGTAATTATTGAGCTAAAACTCTTTAGCTCTGCCTTACTTTTTATTGTCCATAATCCCATATAACTAATTATCTCAGATTGATTTTCTATTCTGTTTGATGGTTTAGGAATGGGGATTTAGAGTCCAAAAAATAAGATATTTTATGCCAAAGTTGTATTTGTACCAATCCCTGAGGATATAGTCAATAAAAGAAAGTTGTCAGCAAGTTCCTTCTGCAGTTGTTGGCAACACTAGTTCAGGGTCCAATTTGCTTATTAGCATGCATATTTCTAGGATATTAGCTGTTTTTTAGCACTAATAAAGCACACATTAATGCCTTCTTCTGCATGACCATATTCTACATCCCATAATCCTACCCCATACCTAAACTTAACAAATACCTTACAAACTACAAAGTGGTAATTGGTAGTTTATTGAGGCAAAAGTCAGGTAATAGTTAGTTAAAGGTACAATATGCAGGATTTTTGCAGTAAAATATCCAATAGGCCAATGTTATATATTTTGTTTAGTTGATTACTTCCGATATCCCAAATGTTTCCTACTATTTGTAAATCGTGAGAAAATTGCGATATTTAACCAAGGAAACGGGACGTCTGAGCAGGGGTGAGTAGTCGCCAGTCAATGGCGTCAAATCCACGTTACCCTCGGTTTCCGCCAGGTTTGACCTCGTACTGCAATAGTAACCATGGTGACTGATGTTGACAACTGGGTTATGCCGGTTATGCCTAGAAAGACGCTCACGGTGTTGTTATTTCGTTCAAACATTTTGGACCATGGCAAGCAGACCTTGAGCCAAAAGAGGACTAGAACCAAGATCAACATCTTTCGAGATGTCGAAAGCTCCACGTCCACGACTAACTTCGACTTGACAGAGACGCAAGAGTTGCATGTAAGCTGCTTTATTAGACAGGTGAGCAAATGTACATAAAACTAATCAATATAAGTTGAACATGATGAAAAGTTAGAATATGATCTGTGTGTTAATCTCTAATGTTAATCTAGCTTAGCTCATACAGCCAACTAACAACCTAACTTAACGAACAACATACAACACACTTAAATCCCATTTAGTGTGATAGTGTAACTGTTAGAGCAAGTTACCTCAAGTTTCATTCATCTAATAAACTGACCTGTGTTGGTATTAATTCTGCACTTGCATGTAGTTCGGTTGACTGAAATGTCCTTATTCTTTTATATCTGTTGCGTGTGGCGCTAGTATACGTCTAGCAATCGCGCCCTGCTTCATTCCACAGTCATGTTAAAAACATCAATATATTCACTCATCCATAAAAGATCCGTCAGCTTGACGACAAGATCCATAATTCCGCTTAATGCAGACTTCATTAATATACGCCTTTGTTATTGTAAGTGGTTAGCGACCCCTTTTGGCAAAAAATCCTGCATATTGTATCTTTAATAGTGAAAATTGGGCCCTAATCTAAAGAGTGACTTTAAATTATTTCCTCCACCTTACGTCTTTCAAAACTTGGATGACTTTTTTTTTTTGTAAGTAGAACACAAATGGAAAAGTCAATAACTGAATGTCCAAGCTGCTGTTTTCCATACAACGGAAGTCAATGGGGATTATGGCTATTAGGGTGGGATTTTACGTTAATACTGAGTTAAATTTCAGTCTGTTTCTCACAAAAAGCTTTCAAATGATTTCATAACACTTTGAAATTAGTGCTTGAATCAGAGATACTTCTTTATACTTTTTTAAAACCTGTTCTCCGTTCTTCTTGTGAAGAAGAGAGCTGCTCAGACATTCAATTCCTTTGGTGTTTTCTGGAAGTGAAAATTTGAAATGATATGAGGGTGAATACATCTTTATGTGAACTATCCCTTTATGTCTCAAATATGGTGTATTTAGAATAAAATATAGTTTTACACTAATTTAGACCAGTTATATGGAAAATTGAAATGAAAAAGAAATTGTCAAAAGCATTATTTGCACAGTTTGACTGGTCATTCACAAAATTATGATTTTGTTAGATAGATAGTTTGTTAGTTTTGTACAGGATTTAAACACTAATCAAAAGGTGAAACTTCATTATATCTACACAACTGCAAGTAAATGTATAATTGACAATGTATTGAATGATTGATGGATTAACCACTGATCCTCCTCACATATTATTTTTTTATATCTCAAAAAATGAAAGAAGGGCTGAACCCCTCCACATCTCAACAGTTTTTTCTTCTTTTTTCCAAAGGCTTAAAAATTTAGCGCTCCTTTGATGGATGTCTCAGGGGGGAAATCCTAAAGCAAGCATTGCTGCAAATATGCAGCGAAGCAAACAGGTGAATGTGTCCAGAATTCACCCGTGGCTACGATGACCAGAGATGCATGTGAAAACAGTTCTGCGTCAAAAGGTATGGAGGAAGTTAGGGGAGAAATGCGCAAGAGTTTCTGAACGAGAGGAAGGGAATCTGGGGCAGCTCCCAAAGGACGTTTCTCACGCCTGCTTCATCCTGTCAATCAAAAACAAAGTTGAACGTGAAGGATCAAACATCCATCTGCACGAGAACCAGTACCGGAGGCGCCTCAGACACCTTTGCCTTGCGTGGAAGCATCCGAGTAAGGCTCCGGAAGGACGGCGTGGCCCTCAGCAGAAGCTCTTTGAGTCCGGCGCGGAATTCTTGGCGGATTAGACAATAGATCACTGGGTTGAGGCAGCTGTTCGTGTGGGCCAAGCACACAGTCAGCGGGAAAGCATACGCCTGGGCGTTGTAGAAGGCCTTGCTGAAGGGCACCAGGTCAAACTTAATGAGGACGCCCCAAAGAGTCAGGGCCTGATTGGGCAGCCAACACAAGAAGAACGACAGGACGACGATCACAACAGACTTGGTGACCTTTGAGCGCCGCTTGTGCCGGCCCTGCTCACTTTCGGAGCCAGCAACGCCGCTAACTCTGCGGCTTAGCACGATTCTTAGAAGTAGGAGATAGCACACGGTAATCACCACTAGTGGGATCAGAAAACCAAGCAGGACCTTTTGCAACTGGTACAGTCCTAGCAACAACTGCGGGTCCCAGCTTCCCGTTTCGGGGAAGCGCACCAAGCATAGCTCCTCATCCGTTGCAACTTGGGCTACGGTGGAATAAATGGAATGCGGCAGCGTCGCTATCAGGGATACGACCCAAATGCCCAAGCTGATCCATTTGGCCGCAGCCGCCGCCGCTCTGCGACTATGCATCTTCATCGAGGACGCGATGGAGTAGTATCTCGCCACGCTCATGGCGGTCAGGAAAAATACGCTGGCGTACATGTTCATGGTGGTGACGGAGCTGACGATTTTGCACATAACTTTGCCGAAGGGCCAGCGGAAGTCCAACGCCGTGTCTACAGCCCAGAACGGTAGGGTTAGGACGAACTGTAGGTCGGTCAGAGCCAAACCCATCACAAAGCAGTTGATGGAAGACTGCTTCTGATGGTAGCGTGAGTGTAGCAGGTAGAGCGCCAGAGAGTTGCCTACAAGTCCTAGAGCACACACCACCGAATAAATGAGGGCGATCATCACACGCACGGCCAAACTAGACCCATCACCTTGTAGTGTTGAACTAGACTCCTTTGTCAACAGTTGCAGCCAGCAGCGTAAAGACAGGTTCCCGCTGACAGAGTCTGTGCAGTTGTCCAGAGCCACGCTTGGTTCCAGTGTGTGCTCACATTCTCCCAGATCCAGAGTTTGTGTAGTGTTAATCCTCTCCATTGCAGACTCCCACTCAGTCTCTTGTCATGGTGAAATGATACAAACGGCGAAAAGAGTCCATTCATCTAATTTATCTCAAGTTCATTGTGACACTGCACTTTGTTCCCGTTAAGTATAATTAGTTCACCGACAGCGAGAGCGCGGTCTCATCAGTGCCTCTCTCTCTCGCGCGCGCACCTCTGTGCGCTCTGCAGCGCGCGCACTTTCTTTTATACTCCGATGACAATGACGCGCCTCCGCGCGCTGCCGAGACACGCGTCGCTTTATGTCAGATACATACATTAAGCAAAGAAACCTAGTTTTCACATGTTATGTTTCATCATAGGAATTTGCACGGTAAAGTGTTTAAGTCATACGAATATAGCTCATTGACTTAATGTTTCGAACGAATACATAGGCTAGCTAATAGCCTGGATTACTTTTAATATATGTGCCTTTTTGCGTCATAACGTAGAAATTTGGCTTCTCTAAATGCAACTATATAGTATGTGTGTGTGATTATTTATCTATCATACATTTATTTATTAGAATACATGTATTTATCTATCTGTCTGTCTATCTGGTAACACATAAGCTTTTTCACATTTTTAATTACAACCCAGAGTTGAAAATAATTATTAAGCCAGAAATTCCCGTAATGAAAGTGTGTGATAACTTATTGATTTCAGATTGGAGTCTTTCGTCTTTGTTGGGTTAATTTCGAAGATTACTGAGCCAAGAATTGCACAGTTTTGGCTTGAGGAGCGAAGAGAAATGTATTTGTGCATTTAATCAATTAAAATGCAGTTCTTTGACAGTTTTTTTTTAAAGTGTATTAGAGACAACTTACTGGAGACAAACTAAAGGCCGTGGGCTTAAGGGAGATGTGAAAGAGGCACGACACAGTCCTGTGGATGAAAGATGCAAGTATATCTCTCTTCATAATTGAAATCTTCTAGAACAATAGTTTGGTGTTTATCAAAACCTGCTGAACCCTTTAGCCAATTACATTTGAGCCAAGATAATATTGACCACAAAAAAAAAAAAAGATTATGCATGATGGTCTATCTAGGCTATCTTTTGTATTTTTCCCCCAAGTTATCTTATCTGAAAGTTACTTGAAATACCTCCCACACTGTTTTCTCATTCCTGGGCACTGGTTATTCAGTTCATAAAATGGCAAATTTATGTACTGATTTATTTGTATGATCTACAGTACATTCTACACAAACTACTGCTTTCATATTTATTCATTTGTGCATCTCTCTTAGGGATGCCTAAAAAAACGATTTGTCAAGGATGATCATTTTTGTTTTTAGTGCGATGGTTTGTTCACCTATTCTTCTCATCTGCACTGGCCTCATTCTGTCTCTCGTGACATCCAAATTGCTGAAAGGCATTTGTGTTGACATCAACCCAGAGCTGAAGACAGAGAGTTGTCCATTTCATAAAACGTATTTTAGAACATTTATTGGGAATAACAATGCAAACGATGGAAAAAGAAATTGAAAGAAACTGAAAGACAATTCAACACAACGTGATTTTACTGAAAAAGCACAGTAATTTATGCAAACTAACTAGTTTTTAATCCATATTTTTTTTACTTCAGTCATCAGATAAAAAATAAAGCAAAACTGTCTTCAAATGGATGAAAAACAAAGGCACGTAGGACAAACTTGTTGATGTAAAATTAATGAATTTAATTTTGTATTCGCCTCAGATATGGTTCAAATTTGTAGTGACTTCATTACCTTTAATTTGTAAATAATATATATTTTAAAGTAAAATAAATATGTTAATTCGTTTGTAAAAAAAAAAAAGTCAGATTTTCTTGAAGTTTTCATTGAAGTTTGACATTTTGAAATTCATCCTTTTTTTATTTCACTCAATCAATTTGTTATTACACTATTTGTATATTTTTAATCAGGAATACTCGGAATAGCTACTTGACTATGTTTGGTCGATTTTGTCATCTAGTTGCCTGATATCAACGTTGTATATCATTCCGCCCATTCCCGTGAAGAAAACCGGCACTACTTTCATGTCTCTATCCACATATCATACCGCGGACTCTCTCAAGATGTAATGTAACGTTAACGTTAACATTAATCGCAAAAGGTCCCTAATTATAATTAAAAAAAAAGGCCTAGCCTTTTCGTTTGGACCCCACTAGTCCACATATAAAAAAAAAAAAAAAAAACAAGATGCACTTCTTAAATGTCAAGCTTAAAAACGAGAAAAATAAGCCCTTCCTTCATTCCAAATGAGCAGATTTGACTTTTGATCATATAAATAAGCTTCTGTATCTCTTAAAGATTACTTCAGTATAGAAAGAAGGGGGGAAATAGCTTCCAGCCGCATCTGTTGGCTGGCTCCCGTCTTCAAAAGCGCTGTTAAAGGACTTTTGACAAATCCCCAGGTAAATCCCCTTCTGCCCTTCACATATCATCCGCATGAGGACTCCGCCGTGAGCCACGTCGCGGATTCAAGGTCAGTGTCGCTACATGCCCAGTGATGGGGTCTCCATGGTGATGCTCTTCGTGCTGGTCAAAACTGTGGTTGTGGAATTCAGAGTCGTAATTGGTGAACTCGGGTCTCCTGTGAAGTCTTCCCAGCAGCGACGCAATCTCCTCAATACTTTTATCTTCAGAAAAGCGCGGCAGAATTTTGGAGTCCTCTGTCACTGAGTACGGATGCTCGAGAGTGTGCAGCACGCGGGAAGACTGGAGGTTGCGCAGGGACCGTGACTGAACTGCAAGGGGTTCAAGAAAATAATGTAAGAAAGATATAGACTTCTTTTTGCCAAAATGTGCTATCATTCTTTAAAACAAACGCAACTTAATTTGATATTTTCTTATGAGTTTCTTCAACTGGCACTTTTGGCCCTGTGGACGTTTATACAATAAACGTACACCCTGACTAGTTTATGTGATTATTCTAATGATCTCCAATAGCCGATACTGAGAGATTAGCCTATTTGTTTTCCTTATCCAGAAAATTCCCACCGCAGTGTCATTTCCACCACATCTCAAATCACTCAAATCAAATTGCAGAATCATTTGCCTGGCTAAAGCTAATTTCATTGCTAGTATTTCATGAATGGTAAATAAACGGGAAAATTGTGTTTTGACATACTTTTTGCATTAGCTATGCATAATAAAAAAACGTGTGTATTTACCTTATTGGATGTAAAATTGTTTGGGGTTGGGGAAATTATGCCACTATTTGATAGAAAACGCCATGGAATGAATTCCATGGAATTCATATTTCTAAACCTTTAGGAGATGAAAGTGCCTGAAACTATACACTTTTTATCAAAAACATACTGTAGTCAATCCCTCAGATTCAAACTTTACTTCCTGTAACTGGTCAATCCCAGTTATTTTAAAGGATTAGTTCACCTCAAAAGTAAAAATTCCAGGTAATTTACTCACCCAAATGTCATATGTTCATGTCTTTCTTTCTTCAGTGGAAAGGTAATTCAGTTTTTTGAGGAAAACATTTCTGGATTTTTCTCTACAATGGACTTCAATTGCAACCAACATGTTGAAGTCCAAATCAATGCAGTTTCAAGGGGCTATGAAGTGCTTACAACGGCTCTGCACGATCCCAGCTGAGGAATACGGCCTTATCTAGCGAAACGATCATTCATTTTCTAAAAAAAAAAAAAATGTATATACTTTTTAACCACAATTGTTTGTCTTGTGCTGGTCTTTGTCGCGCCAGGGATTACGTCATCACCTTGGAAACGTAACTTGTCATGTCATCTATTTGTCAGTTATTTAGTTATTTGTCTGTGTACTTCGGTTCAAAAAGGCAGGGAAGGGCGAAAAATTCCATCTCATTTTCTCCCATTTTCTCCAACTTCAAAATCGTCTGATATCTTTATTTTAATTTATTATTATTCAAAACAAACAAAAGAAATTGTGACGTTTTCAACGTGATGATGTAATCCCTAGCGCATTGCCGACCAGCACAAGACGAACAATAGAGCATCACAGTCCCGCCCACAGCCCGAGAGAGCGCTGGTGCCGGAAGTAAATTTCCCATTCATTTCTCCCATTGACATTTTGTAAAATCCATATCTAGAGAGTATTAGTGCATGTCTGAGGATTAACAGCTACGTCTGAACTCATAAGCATACAACACATCATTTCGAGTGAAAAAACGATGAGAAAATACAAAAAAAGTCGAGAGTACAAGACTATGTACATGTTTTCATTTCCGAGCAATAAACCACCGCGCCTCACTGAAGTCGTCTGAAAGCCACTGTGAAAGAGCCTTTTGAGCGACTTCCAAATCTGACGACGGGCACGTGAACTTTTTCCTTCAGTGAATTTTATATAGTGAATGTACAGGGAAACCCCTTTTCCTCGAATTACTGAAGCAAACGCATTTGCAGCTCAACATGCAAAAACATTGAGTTTCTGGCTCGCTCATTAGCTAATTTGTGGCAACTGCACATCCAATGGCGCGTGGGCGTCTCAGAAGTGCGACCAATGAACTTAGCCCTACGTCATCACGCGATCTTCAGTCTTCACGTACCTTCGCGGGGCTTCAGACACGTGACATGACTTCCACCAATCAGATGCATCACTGTTGGATTGTGGGATTGTTCAGGATTTTGGGTAATGAAGTACTTATCCAATACATCGCGAATAAAAGGGATTTATCTTAAAACAAGATTAGTGCCCCATGAACTTTTGGCGTTTATATGAGCACATACAATCGCTTAGTACAGCCGTAGCTGGTTTTAAGTCTACCATGTATGGTTATGTTTTTATGGCTTATAGCTCAAATGTCAATGGAGAAATTGTATTGAATTTTTACTTCCGGCACCGGCTGTGGGCGGGACTGTGATGCTCTATTGACCTATGGCTAAGCCACACCCTCAAACGTAATGAGCCAATCACAGTGCGCAGCTAATCCGTAAAACACTCGGACATTCTCTGCTTCCACATCCATTGAAACGCATTGCAGTTAGTCAGTTGTCATTTGTTTTTTCTTGTCATTTTAAGTTTAAAATGGTCAAATGGTGTGCATGGGGTACATGCAACTCCGACACTAGGTTAGCGAGAGGCTGGGCAACGGTGTGTATTTTTTACCCTTTCCCAAGCCACATCTCAACCGAGATAAGTGTCTGCTCTGGATTAAGTTAATTTCGATTAATTTATGCGGTAGACCACAACACCAACTAAACGTGGATAAATTAAACAAGGATGTCTACATCTGTTCTAAGTTAAGTCAACAACGTATTTGACACATTAGAAAATGTTAATGTTAGCTTCTAGCTGCGTTGCACATCACGTCACTAGCTTCATTAACGTATCTGTAAATAACCGAGACAACAAATGTTAACAATGTTGTGCTGAATGATTCATGTAAATACCGTAGCACCAAACGGTGATGGCAACGATATGCGGTTTATTACATTTACACTGTGACCTGTACATTTTTTCCTGGAGCTGAAGCTTTTCATCAACCTTCTCAACAATAAAATTATTAATATAACTCTCCAATCATAGTTAAGGCCCTTTAGATGACTTCGAGATAATATATAATCTTTCAGTCTCCAAAAATCACCAATTGCCTCCTGTGAAATGTCTCCTACTGTGACAGCTGCCATCACGCGTGTCCCCAAATGATGACATGAATGGAGGGGGCGTGGCTTAGCCATAGGTCATTTGTTGTTAAAAAGTGGTGTTTTTTTTGTTTTGTTTTGTTTCGTTTTAATGACCGATTGTTGAGAAGACGGCATTTGGTGTGAATAAATTATCAGGAAATTTTCATTTTGAGGTGAACTAATCCTTTAAGTCTGTGGATGAAATAAACAGTCGAGTGAGCCAAGCATTGACACATTTTACCCTGTTCTTTTTTCCTGAACTTCAGCCACCCACTTCAAAAGAGCTTTGAAGAGCAGGACACTAATCAAACAAAACGGTGATCAAGTGCTCCAAACTTTAAACCATGACCTACGCTTAGCCTGCAAAAGTAGAATTGATTCCCTTCAGAAACACTGATGGCAGGTCTGATCAGGACAAATTACAACTTTTCTTCCACACCGTTATTTCAATATGTGGGAAACATGACAAAGCGATTTGCCATTCTTCTAGTCTTCGTCACCTCCCTCAGTCCTTCCAATAACTGTCATTGGCTTCAGCCAAAGCCTGATGGCTTATCAAACAATTTCTTCAAGCAAAACAGCAGTTGTAGCAGTTGCAGGATATAAGGTTGTAATGGGGTTTTCCCCTCAAGGACCAGATGGAGGAGATATTTCAGCCAGAAAACTCACCTCTCAATTGGCTGAAGTCTCCATGCTGACTGACCTTGGTATCAGAGAAGGGCTTCAAACTGGGCAGCAGAATCAAGGTGAACGACAGAAGCAGTACCTGAGGAACAGAGGCAGATGGAAAGCTCAAACATAGGACAGCCATTAGTGAAGTACAACTTTGATGTAACATCCGATCCATTTGAGGTATGTTATCAAATAGCTTTAGATTGGAGATCCTCTTTCTGTGATTACTGGCTTCCTTCATGTTGGGGAGCACTGATGATTGATTTAAGAGCATTTGCTTGTCAATGTCTTGTGAAAGGAACTGTAGCGGCAACCTATAGCCGCTGAGAGGCTAGGCAGCAGGAAATATCCGTGACGCGTTTTCTTGCATTGAATATTCAGTAGCTTTTATTGACATACAAGCAGAAACAATGAAGAACATACATGCTAACGGTCAACAGAAAGTGAGCACTCCCCGCTACTCACCCCCTCTCCACACACCCCAAACAGGAAACACTATCAGGTATATACCCACCAATACCCATGTGACCGTCACACCTGGAAGCGCACGTAAATTACAAAATAAAAGACAAAACATTTTCTACACTTACATTCCAGCCCCTGATTATTACACAATACTAATGCAATAATCACAAATATAATCAAAACATGAACAATATTAACAAATATAATTGTTATACATGATTTTCTCCTTTTTTTTTCTTTTTTTTTTTTTTTTTTTTTCACAAAGGCTTAAGAAATGTGAAACAATACATGTGTGCGAAAGTGTCCAAGGCACTCAAGTGTTCATCATTGTAACGGAGTAAAGTTCATACAAAGTTCAAGTCTAAGTCAGTAAAGTCCGTAAATCAGTCAAGTCCAAGTCAAAAGGTCATGTCAAAAGTCAGTTGAGAGCTCTCAAATGTCAGTCATAGTTAATCTTTAAATTCCTCAGCTTCCAGAAGACGACAAATTTTGGTAATCGGCCTGGTTAAGCAGGTACTCCTAGTCTTGATCTTAACTTGCCTTGTCAATCCCTTTTTGTCCGTTATTGCGTGAATAATTTTACCCATGATCCAGGAACTTCTTGGTGCATTTTCATCCATTAACAGAACAACATCTCCCAACTGATAGTTCCGCGTCTTTACCATCCACTTTTGGCGTTCTTGCAGTAAAGGTAGATATTCACTAATCCATCTTTTCCAAAACAGGTTGGCTAAATACTGAATTTGACGCCATCTTCGACGGGCATACAAATCTTCCTTCTCAAACAATCCAGGTGGTAATGTAAACTTTGTTTTTAGAAGGAGAAGATGATTAGGTGTTAAAGCTTCCATGTCATCAGGGTCCAAAGATGATCTGGTTATGGGTCGGTTGTTAAGTATAGACTCTACTTCGCACAAGAGAGTATGAAGACCTTCTTCATTCAAACTCTGCCCTCGCAGAATGGAGTTCAGTATCTTCTTTGTAGATCTGATGAGCCTTTCCCAGATCCCCCCGTGGTGTGAACCGGTAGGAGGATTGAAAGTCCATTTAATCTTCTTTTGTAGAAGAACGTCGTTTATCTGACTCTGGTTCCAATTTTGTATCGCTCTTTTAATTCACGATCAGCCCCGACAAAGTTCGTTCCATTATCTGAACGTATTTCTGTCACTTGTCCTCGTCGAGCGATAAAACGTCTAAGTGCGTGAATGAATGAGTCGGTGTCCAGTGAAGCAACCATCTCGATGTGAACGGCTCTAATGTTCAAACAAGTGAAAATGACTCCATAACGTTTTAGTGTGGTTCTTCCTCTCTTTACTTCAAATGGACCGAAGCAATCCAGTCCAACATGAGTAAAGGGGGGTTTGTCTGGTGAGACTCGATCGTGAGGTAAATCAGCCATCTGTTGATGACCTGCAATTGCGTTAAACCTTTTACACACCACACATTTTGACAGAAATGTTCTTATGGCTACGCTGGCTCCAGGGATCCAATATCGCTGTCGAAGAGCCGCCAACATGAAATTCCGTCCACTATGTCCCACTTCTTCGTGAATTTGTCGCAGAATTAGATTAGAAATGTGTAGATCTTTGGCCAATATAATTGGGTGCTTAGAGTGTTCAGGGATCAATGCGTTAGCAAGACGTCCACCAACCTTGATAATATCATGCTGAAGTATTGGATTAAGACTATAAAGAGGACTATTTTGTTTGACTACTCCATGCTTGCGTAGACTATTTAGTTCCTCCGGGAACCTCTTTCTTTGAGAAAGTCGGATGATTTCCATTTCGGCCCTTTCCAATTCTTCCAACGAAAGTAAGTCCTCACACGATGTAGATTTAAACTTCTGCATCTCCTGATTAACGATCATCTCTTGTACGTATGGATCTGTACTAGAGGAGACGAGAACAGTCTGCAGTCGTTTCCTTTCCTTGCTACGGTCCATCAAAATTCGTTTCAGGCGAAGGATCCATGCTACGGCTTTCTTTAGTCGAATCCAAGATGAAAAGTAATCAAAGAGATCTGATATGGAGTCAGAATTTTCATTGACCTTTATCATGTTTACCAAAGCACTCCTTTTAATCTCAGGGTCACGAGGCAATATTACATCCCTACAGGTAAGGTCCGTTGGCCACTCGTTAGGTGATCGAGTGAGAAATGCAGGACCAGAAATCCACGTCTCGTTCTTCAAAAGTGAATCCACCTTCACTCCTCTAGACACCAGGTCTGCCGGATTGCTTGATGAATTCACGTACCTCCATTGTTCTACATCGGAAACCTTCAGGATTTCGGACACTCGATTAGCCACAAAGCACTTAAATCTAGTGGTGCTATTTCGAAGGTATTTGAGTACTGAAGTACTGTCAGTCCAAAAAACTGAGTTTTGAAAGGGCATCTTGAGTTCCTTCATCCAGATTTTGTCAATACGGCTTGCAAGAGTGGCAGCTGTAAGTTCCAGGCGAGGGATTGTAACAGATCTTAATGGTGTAATTCTTGCCTTGCTCACTAAGAGGGTAGAACATGCCTGTTGTTGGTCATTATGGAGCAGCAAATAGGATACCACTCCATATCCTTGTTCGCTTGCGTCTGAAAAATGATGCATTTGAGCAGTAGTTACATCTCCAAACCCATCAGGCTTCAAACATCTTCTGACCTCAAAACCCTCCAAGCAACGCAGATCATCCAGCCAGTTCATCCAACGTTGAACATACACTGATGGAATATCATTGTCCCATCCAATTCCCTCCCTACATAGATCCTGCAGTATCCTCTTGGCAGACAGAATCACAGGTGACAAGAACCCCAGAGGATCGTAGATGGAACTAACCACTGAGAGAATTCCTCTCCTGGTAAGAGGTCTATCCTTGACTACCACTTTGAACTGAAAGGCATCCGATTCAGCACACCATTGTACTCCCAATGCTCGTTCCACTGGCAAGATGTCACGATCGAAATCCAAATCCTTTACCTTTTTCTCCCTGTCCTTCTCAGGTATTACACTCAACACAGCACGGCTGTTGCTCGTCCATTTTGTTAAACAAAATCCACCTTTAGCACACATACTTGTAAGATTCTTGTACAGTTGCACAGCCTCTGATTCAGAAGATACGGAAACAAGGCAGTCGTCCACGTAGAAGTTATTGAGAACAACTTCCGTTGTCTTAGGGTTGAATAGATCCTTTTGATCCATTGCACATTTCCTCAATGCAAAACTTGAGCAACTAGGTGATGATGTAGCCCCAAATAGATGAACCACCATTCTGTATTCCTCCAGACTGCTATTTAAATCACCTTCTGGCCACCACAGAAATCTCAAGAAGTCACAGTCTTCTGGGTGAACTCTGATTTGATGAAACATGGCCTCAATGTCAGCCATTAGGGCAATGGGTTCCAATCTAAATCGTACTAGTACACTCACCAGCGAACTGGTTAAGTCTGGACCTTGTAGAAGCTTGCTATTCAGTGATGTGCCCTGAAAAGAAGCTCCACAATCAAACACAACCCTGATCTTGTGTTTTGTGAGATGATAGACACCGTGATGGGGTAAATACCACAGACGTCCGTCGCGTCTCTCCAGTTCAGCCGCAGGTACCCTTTCGGCATAACCTTTATGAATCACATCCTCCATAAAAGTGGTGTAATCTGCATGAAAGGAAGAATTCACTTTGAACTTCTTATGTAGAGTTAGAGCACGTTGTTCTGCAATTCTCCTGTTCATAGGCATGACTACTTCAGCATTTCTGAATGGAAGACCAATATAATAATGATCATTAATTAGCTTTGCTGAATTGGACACAAAATTCATAAACTGCTGATCTTCTTTAGATGTTCCCACCATCTCTTCCTGAGCAGTCTCTGGAAAATCGGCCTTAAATTGCTGCTTCCACAACTCTTCCAACTTCATCACTGCAATCCTATTCGCAGTCACAGAAATTTGGTTAGCAGCATCATCTCCATTCATGCCAACTCCTTTGAGTGGTCCGTTAACGGTCCATCCGAACAGGGTCCTTACGGCATATGGGCCATTATTTTGACTACGTATGACCTCCCAAGGCTCCAATGCTTCTGGAACATTAGCTCCAATCAAAAGCTCTATACCAGCATTAATCGTAGGTAGACAAATATGACTCAGATAAGGCCAACGTTCAAGATCCTTTTGTGAGGCGATGTTTTCCATGGTCACGGGCATGCTCTCTTGTGTATACACTTCCGGCAATGCACAGTAACCTTCTTGTCTCAATCCAGAAATCTCCAGGTCTTTTAGAACGTAGCTACCGACTGATTTATCTTGGCTCATAGTTCTGAGAAGGATATTAACTCTCTTTCCAGAGAGGTTGAGCTTGTTCATCAAACTTTCGGTACAGAAAGAAGCAGAACTTCCTGAATCGAGAAAAGCATACGTCATCACCACATTGTGACTCTTTCTTGATTTGACACAAACTGGGACGATAGGTAATGCACAGCTGTCGTTACCAGCCCCAGTAAGACCACTAGTTTGGAGAGAGACCATAGCACTAGCTACTGAGGACTTAAATTCAGCTTTCTTCTTGTCCAATGTTTCTACCTTCTCATGAGGGTAAATGTGAAGAAGACTTGGGTGTTTAAGACCACATACGTTACAAACACTTCTCATTTTGCAGTCCCTACTAAGGTGACCTGTATGCAAGCAGCCAAAGCAAACTCCTCTCGTCATCAGAAAATTCATCTTTTCTTTGTGACTTTTTCTGATCAGTTTATTGCAGACATCCAGCATGTGTTCACCATTACAAAAGAGGCAGGTTCTGTTAGTTGATATCTTATGGTGTTCTTTCATTTCAGGTATAGCAGTGACAGTAGTTGCAAAGCTGCTTCTAGTTTTCGGCTGACCCGCTTTAAAATTCATCTTCCTACCTCCAACAGGTGACACATCCTGAATATTACCAAACACAGGATCAGATAGAATTTTTACTTGTTTCTCGATGAAATCAACAACATCAGAAAAGGTGGTTTGATTGTGGCGTCGCTCCTTTAACTCGTATGCAACGACTCTCCATCTGTCTTTGAGTTTGTAAGGAAGCTTTGAGAGGATGATTTGCATGTTAGTGGTGAGATTCAGCTCATTCATATAGTGAATATCTTGCATAGCGTTGCAACAACTCCTTAGGAAAAGACCATACTCTTGCAGAGACTTAGCATCTTCAGATTTTATAGCCTTCCATAAAAGAGCCTTTTCCATGTATGACGAAGCTATTTTTACCTCATTGCCGAAGTTCTCTTTAAGCAAAGCCTTAGCCTTCAAGTAACCTTGTGACGGGGTCATGAGCTGGCAACTTCTAACAAGTTCTCTCGACTGTCCTCGTGTATATTGCTCCAAGAAGTGCAGACAATCTCCTGGGTTGTCTGCCTTTTTTTCCACCACTTCCTCAAATGTACGCATAAACTCATGAAAGCGCAAAGGATCTCCATCAAAGTACTGTATTTCTCTAGGTGGAAGGGAAGACAAGTTATGCTGTTTAACCAATAGGGCAGCTATTTCATTTTGCTTACCCATAAGCTGAAGCATGCTTGAATGGCCTGTGTCAATTTGGGAACTTGGTCTTCGTGACCCATGACCATCGCGATTCTGAATATCCAATGATGACAAATCAGGCAATGTAGCTTGTGAAGGTTTCATTTTAGGTCTTGTTGATTGTTGTTGTCCTAAACGAGGTGGAGAATAATTTGGGATCCTTTGTGTATCATTGATATATGATGTACGTGCTACCGGTATGGACTCTGATGCTGCTGGGACACTAGCAGAAGGAACAAATGGTTCTGCTACCGAATGTAGGGGTTTCAGCACATTCCTATCCACAGATGAATAGGATACGGATTGAACGTCTTGATACACTTTTACTCTTGCCATTGACTCAGCTAATTTGATTTCCAAATCCAGTTTTTCCTTCCTTTTTCTCAACTGTTCCCCTCGTTCCTCTAAATCATGTTTCAATTGCAGCATCTTTTGAGAAGCCAATAAAGCAGCCAATTCTGCCTCAGCCTTGAGACGCATAGAAGATCGGCAGGATCGAGACCCATGAGATGTAGCTCCAGAAGATCTTTTACTGCTTATATTTGAAGCACTGTCCGTTGGTTGAATTTCATTTTCAAGGTTCCCGGAATACATTCCAGCTTGTAGGTGATGTACCTTGAAGGGCCGAGTATTGTGTGCTGTAGACAACATGTCAATAGAGGATGTAATGTCAGATGCACAAACTCCTTGAGATGTAACAATGGCTTCCCCAACCACAGGCCCACGGATAATAGAAGAAGCGGTGCAAGCTTCGTTCGTCCATCGTTGAACGTCATCCACAAAACCATTATAATGTTCCAAAATGGAGTCAAACCATTCATTTTGTTTACTTTGTTCCTCATTAGGTAGTGAAGGCAATACTCCTTTATGTAGCGCAATAGCATCATCCATAAGCACCTGTATCGTTTTCAACATAGAACACACTTGAGACGCATTATCATCGCATTTCATCAGCTCTTTCATTGATCCGATCAAATTCTTCACTTTGTTCACTTTACTCTTGCGATCCCTTTGCAAGGCTTCAATCTTAGCCACCAACGCCTTTGTCGTGGGTTTATGCTCTCGTTTGCTGCCATCAACAACAGCGTTATCCGTATCCTCTGAATTCATCATTCTCCAACGCAACGGACAATGCGAGCTCCGTTTCAAACCGCACGCTCACAGAGCCAAACAATGAATGAACGTAACCAGGCAGTAAGTCACACGAGAGCCCATAAGTACCAGAGCAACACAGCGCGTTCAACTCAACGCCAATCCAATGACTACAACAGCGTCTTCCACCACTTCCACTACGGCGATACAGCACAATCCATTGAAACCGCGAACGTACCTCATTTGCCGTCTGTATGTGCGTCGTGTCCGTCAATCCAAACTCTGCAGTGCAAGTCCGCCACTACATGCTGTATGCAGAAACAGCCGTTTCCAAGTTGCGTCCATAATCCATTGGTTGTGTAGTTTTCTGTTGACTTAAATGTAGCGGCAACCTATAGCCGCTGAGAGGCTAGGCAGCAGGAAATATCCGTGACGCGTTTTCTTGCATTGAATATTCAGTAGCTTTTATTGACATACAAGCAGAAACAATGAAGAACATACATGCTAACGGTCAACAGAAAGTGAGCACTCCCCGCTACTCACCCCCTCTCCACACACCCCAAACAGGAAACACTATCAGGTATATACCCACCAATACCCATGTGACCGTCACACCTGGAAGCGCACGTAAATTACAAAATAAAAGACAAAACATTTTCTACACTTACAGGAACTAAAGATTAGTTCTTTACATCAGTTTTTTACATTTACAAAATTGAAGTCAACCAAAAATGGCACTTTTTAAACTAGTGTTACTATACCAAAGGCTGAAGCAGCCATCACTTCAGTCTTCAATTTCACATGATCCTTCAGAAAACTGTTGTGTAAAACGTATAAATTGAGATTGTGGCCAAAACTGGTACTGCAATCACTTTCAAATTACTGTAGAGCGGTGTATCTCTCATTTGGACCTTAAACGGTTTGGTTTCCAATGAAGTGCATCATGAAAATCCTGAAATGTTTTCATCAGAAACCTCAATTTTTTTTTCGACTGAAGAAAGAAAGACATGGATATCTTGGATGGCATGGGGGTGAGTAAATTATCAGCAATAGTTTTTTTTAAAAAAGTGAACTATTCCTGTAATATAACATCTTCTGTTGTTGGTTTTTTTGTTGCCAGACAGGTCTCAGTTACTGAGATTTTAACGCACAACCATTTCTATCACATTTAGTGCCAATTGGGCATCGTTAAATGCCACGGCCTACCTGAGCATTGTTTCTGACCATGTCCATCCCTTTATGGCCACCATGTACCCATCCTCTGATGGCTACTTCCAGCAGGATAATGCACCATGTCTCAAAGCTCGAATCATTTCAAATTGGTTTCTTGAACATGACAATGAGTTCACTGTACTAAAATGGCCCCCACAGTCACCAGATCTCAACCCAATAGAGCATCTTTGGGATGTGGTGGAACGGGAGCTTCGTGCCCTGGATGTGCATCCCACAAATCTCCATCAACTGCAGGATGCTATCCTATCAATATGGGCCAACATTTCTAAAGAATGCTTTCAGCACCTTGTTGAATCAATGGCACGTGGAATTAAGGCAGTTCTGAAGGTAGTATGGTGTTCCTAATAATCCTTTAGGTGAGTGTGTATATACATATACATATATCATAATGAAACAAGATGAACAAGAAAACAATGTGGGAGAGACTTCATTTGATCTTTTAGTAATAATACAAAGTGTGATTATGTTATTATCTCGACAGAAATTAATAGTAAGAAATAAAACCTTTTTTTGTGCCAGAGAAAATACCATCTGTTATGTATGTGTCTAGTTCTTGTTTTTAAAAGCCCAAGGCATGATTACTGTATGCCTTTATCTTTCATGTGCTAATATTGCTTTTTTTTTAACCCTCACCAGAATGCAGGTCCCAGTCTGGGCCGGTTTGTTGGATCCGTTCATGATCATCGCTTGGAGCCGACGCAGTTGTTCCATCAGGGAGCTAGAGATGGAGAGAGCGGGGGGAAAAGTTCAATTTCAGGGGCCTGTTTGGAGTTGTGAAGAAGATATTACCAAATAAATGATTCTCTCACATGTTGCATTTCTCCAGCTGGAAGACTTTCCTCTGCAGCTCCTGGTTGTGTGCACTGCATGCCGCCATCCTACGGAAACGAAATAACCATGTCAAAGGAAGCAGGTTGTAATCAAATCAGCTCTCAAGCCAACTGTCAGACACAACTGTAAACCTCCAGCTGGAACAATGTTCAGTAGCTGCAAATTCCATCAACTCAGATTATGTATTTTTACTCTGTCATTCAATGCACGCAGCATTCACTTTTGCTTCATTTGTTTCGAGCACAACAGTCAATACCTGCTCTCCAGGCCATCTATGTATTCTTTCTTTTTCTTCCTGCTCTCTTGGGCCGACTGCTTGTTGCGGATCTTCCGGCGGATTTTCTTCAGAATCCTTTCCTCGTACTTGATCACGGGAGGGAAGCAGAAACATTGAGCTACAAAGACAAACAACTGTGATCTACTATTATGGCGTCATTTCCAACTGGAGCTACCTTGGTGAGCGGGAACTGATTTGGCAGAGTCAATCCTTCTTTGGCAAGGAGTCGTTTCTCATCCTCTGTGAGAACCAGCTCCTGGTAGGACTGCTGGGACACCTTTGTGGTCTGCAATATCAATCGGACATGAAAGTAACAAATCCAATCAATGTTTCTATTTGCCTGGATGGTCAGATACCTATTGAGTTCAGCTTTTATCTTCTCTAAAGTTCACCTTTTCCCTATTCTGCCTTGTGTATTTTACCTAGCTTCACGCCTGAGTGCAAACTCACAGGCTCTGGTGTGCCAGATAGCAGCAGGTCCTTGACAGTTAGGGGGAATCCAGTGGTCGGTCGTGCCTGTGGAGTTGCAGATCCCTGCTGTATCCCTCCAGATTTGTCTGGGAAGAAGCCAGTCTCCCAGCCATCTGTGGGAACAGATAATATTATTTATCCTTCTTTGTATGCTTATGGAAAGATTCACAAAGCTCAGGAATAGGGGCTTATCTTCAGAAAGTTTACCAAACCAACGCAACGCACAATGCTGTGAATTAATAAATGGGAGGCTAATCATCTGCGTTTACTGTGTAAATCTAGGTTCGCTTCATGAATACTTGATACTCACTGAATTCAAATGAGAAGTTTGTGTCGAGATTGTGTTGCGTCTGAGATATGACGACGCAAGGCTCCACGGGGGGGCTTGCGGTTGGTGGCGGACTGTCGATGTGATCCGAATGAGGGTCTTCGCTGATTCCGCTGTCGCTAGGAGAGGGCGACCAAACTGGAGACCCCGAAACAGAGTCGCACCCATCTAAAAGTGCGTTGAAGAAGTCCTCGTTTCCCTGGGCAGGCATCATCATCTGGCAATCGAAAATACAGGAATGGTGAAGGTGTGATATTAAATAATTTCCTCAGCAGAACACAAAAGAGAATATTCTGAAGAACTATTTTTGTCCATAAAAGAAGGTAAATGGTGTGCAAATGGAGAAAATGGCTCGGAGAAACTCAAAGGAAGCTGGACTTTGTCGACTTCGACTTACATGGGGATCTTGAACTGGCCAAAGCTGATGGTTTTGTTGTCCTGTATTCTCATGCCGTAGGATACCATCATTTTTATCGAAGAGCAAATCGAGGAGTTCTAGCCCCTCACCGCCCTATGACACAATGAATATAATTGCTGTTTAATTCATCTCTTGTCAGTGGGATTCAATGGAAATGGAAAATAGAAAATGGATAAAAGCACCAAAGACAGTTAAAAGCAACCAAATGTTGGAAAAGATAACTTTTTTTTGAACTTTGCTCTGTGTGAGATATTGCACAAGGAGGTTAGATAAGGTAGACTACGTTTAATACTATTTTCTCTTTGCTAGCATGTAAAACTAATAAAACTTCAAAACATAAGGACTTACCTGGTCTGAATAGTGCTCCATTACTGTCCAGGGGTAACGCAGTCTAAATGGGACAAAACCAAAACATCTGCCAATAGGTTGTCCTGACTCTGTCTGTGTCCCTCTGCTCACCAAGGACAAAGTTCGAACTCCAACGCAACAATCAGGTCATCATCCTCAGGGCTGCGTTTGATTGGCTGTTTATAGGTTTGTGAGATTAAAAAAAAAATGTGGGACACCCTGGAGAAGTAGTGTAGCTTATATTTCAACCAAACATTGTAAAAATCTGTTGCATTCAAATAATTGACTCCATTAAAAAAAAAGACTGGACTTAGGTGCATTAAAAATGCAACCTCAACCTTTTTATCTTTATTTTTTACATAGACTGCCAAAAGAAAGTACAGTTTTTTGCAAATAAAGATTTCCTGACCTTTCTTATCCCTGGAAAAAACATTCCTCAAAGTTGCTTCAATGCGCTTTCAAGTAAAGACTTCAGACATTTGTTATGGGACAACACCTAATCCATATAGTTCAAAGGTTATTTTTTCCTTTCTGTCTGAGGTAATGTGACCTTTTACACAGTTGTGATAATCCAGAAAGACAATATACATAATAAACATTATATATTTTATTTATTTATGTATTTATTGTTTTTAAATGGTAAAGATCTGTTAACATCCTAACATCTGAGCTGTTTAGAGTTATGAATATACATTATTTTTAAATTAAATAAATAATGAACAATTTTTATTTTCAATTATAATTTTATTATTAAATGTACCTAGACTGTTTTATTATTAAATCATTTTAATTATCAATTATAATCTTTTGTGTCTTGTATTTATATTAAAAATATATCATTATACTGCTTGCACGTCTCTATTTCTGAAAGGTACAGTATGTCACACAAGAAAAAAAACATCATCTCATCTTGGCACACTGTGTCTTTCTCCATCTACTCCTATCCGAAGGGCTTTTCATCAGGCTGAACAGGCCCATCCAACTTTGAAAGCTATCGTGATTCACAGGGAGTCATCTATTTTGTAGGCTGTAGCATCAAAAAATCCTTTGTCATTCTCAGAGATCTACCGTGTATCAAACAGACTTTGCTGAAATTTACCCAAACCATTTCTTTGCTGGCTGTTCGTAAGCAAGCACAGATGCAGTCATCCATTAGGCACAATGTCATTTGTATGCAGGAAACTTTAAACAGGGATCAATTGCAGCATTGGATTCAGGTACGTGTGCTTACCACCATTGTCAGGCACATGATTCAAAGCACCAGCTCCCTTTTTAAGATTCTCTCACGCACCTCTCCACAAGAGACATAATTACAGCAGAACATTCAGGGAATGTTTGAAGGAAAACTCAAGGACAGAAAGTTATCCTGGATTTTTTTTTTTTCCTCTCCTTTTTCATCAATGTTTTTTTCCTTATAAAAGCATTGTTTACTAAGACTAAAGCCCTTTTGAGACATAGTTAGGCAAAAATCAATGGCAAGGTAAGAGGCTTTGAATATGCTGTGCAGATTTTCCTTTCCATTTCAATTAAGCCCTAATGACTCAGACAAGGACATTTGCTGCTTTACAAGAATAGCGGGACAACCCATCACTGACAGAGATCACAGCAACAGCGAACCACAACCATCCAATCAATTCCTGATAATACCAAACTCTGCTACTTTGCTTTGCTTCGTAGACATGGTATAACTGAAAAGTGTTTCCTTTCTAGCGGGGGATGGGGGTGCTTGTCTGAAGTATAAAATCATTGGTTACCCATAAGCCAATCACATTTGGTTTTGACGTGTGTTATCGAGCAAAATACCAGAGTGAACATGGCTGACCGAGTTTTGCTGCAACCAAGGGGGACACAATCACAACTATCGCTGGCCTTTGGCCTCCCCAGTTTCTCGCTGACGATCGGTAATAGTTGATAAATTTAACTTTTCCCAAAATCTGTCGAGAGTAGAGCCACAGCATAACCTCGGACTTGGTGAAACAACCCTCTGTTTAAGCCCTGAGTGGTGACGATGTTTCCTCTCTGTGGTGGTGACAGGTTTAGGTCTGAGTGGTAACTGGTAACAATGCATCCACGGTACATCACGAAACTGATTTCTGAGGCAGCTTAAAGGTTTAATGAACGATAAGTTAATATAATACCATTTTCTCACTAGAAATTAAATCAAAGTGGAAAGTTTCCCAAAAACATACATTTACACACAAACTGAACACCAACCCCTATTTTCATATGCCATCTTTATTTTTAGCTTAAGGACAAACCTCACGTTGAGCCCTGATATATTAAGTTAAATGTGAAAATAGGAACATTATCACAGAATGAAACGCAAAGGATTGTGGGATATCAAAGACAGCAAGGAATTCATTTACAGTAGCTACATTCAAAATCAATCAGATGAAGGTAGCGTATCTCAAAAGAATCACAATTTTCGTTTCATGACAACATTAAAAACACGACGGGCAAAAAGATAGCCACATGAATCATGATTAATTAAAGTTCATCACAAGTACAGTTGTAACTTTGAAACGAAACGTACATACATTTAGATGCAATTTTATATATAGTTATGTTTATTTAATATAATTTTTAAAAGAAGGTGTCTGTTTTATCTGTTTTTGTGACTAACGTTTCTTTAGTATAACAATGGAGTATAAAATTCGATATAAATTCTCGGTATTACATTGGACTCCACGATCGGCGGTAGTTATCGAGCATCCTTAAACCTTTACCGCCGTCCATAGAGCCCATAGAATCCCTCACAACAGCACAAATCTGCAAAACAGGTGTTGTCTCAAGCACACCTGATACAACTAATCAAGGGTTTCATTACTGTAATCAGGTGTGCTTGAGCTAGAACACATGAAATATCTAAAATGACAAGGTTTGACGTTATCACCCTTCACAAATGCAATGGGAGTTGAATAATTTTGATTATAGCGATGAAATTTCCAAAAATACTACAAATTGAAGGTGCACACTGCATACAAACACCATCATGGTAACACCTACCCTATCTCACGACCAATTCGTACGAATTCGTACGAGTGATTAAAAAGTGGCTAATTCGTACTAATTCGTACGACCTCACTCGTACGAATTCATACGATTTGTCCAAACCCACGTGACGGTTATGTTTAGGGGCGGGGTCAGGGGTAGGTCATTCGTACGAATTCATATGAATTCGTAAAATCGTACTAATTTGTACGAGTGAGGTCGTATGAATTGTTACGAATTAGCCACCTCGTAAAATTCGTATGAATTCCTGTGAGATCGGGTTGGGTAACACACATGACGCAATAAACATTAATTTAACAACAATGTATTAAAAAACACCAGTGTATATAAATGTAATAAAAAATTATGTGGACGTCAAATATCTCAAAAGTTTACTACAGCATAGCAGTGGAAAAGTGCATGAAGCACTTTGGGATGACTGGCGTCAGAATGAACCCAGAACATCCAAATCTTAAAACTTTTATCCTACAGTTTACCACTCTTAATGTAAATGAAGTTGATCTTGTTGTCTGTATGTTAATGAAGTTGTCTACAATTGATGACCATTTGCTCATGATGTGGTAAACCCAAATGGTGAAGAAACAATATATCCTGACTTCCTTTATCTCTACACTCTAAAATCCAACATTGATTCTAACTAGTTAACTTTACTGAATGTCTTAACTTAATTGTAAAAATCTAGTAATCTGTTTTGGTGTCTAATATTGTGTAACTGTAAAAAATAAAGCATTTGTCTCTGTTAAGTTCAAAATGGTTGTATTCAGTAACCCTGACCTTGACTTGTTGCAAACCTCAGATGTCTTTTTAACAAGTTGTCACATACACAGTAAGAGCTCAAAGGCATTTGTGTACCAATTTTCTCTCATTTATATTCAATCGGCGGGCGCTGTAGCCATCTGGATGTGCCAGCCACTCGAACCTGGAGCTGTACAGAATAGCCCCCAGACAAACAAAAATAGAGCGCAAAGTGTTCAGAAATGAAACGTTCTTGCTCTGAAGTGCAAAATCTGTCATAGTTGAGTGCATACATCAAGCTGCTCTGATGCTTTTGGCTTCAAAGGAAACGCATGACCCGAGCCAAACTGCAATCTGCTGAATCGTCATTCCATATTCATTCCAGGTGTAACATTGTTATCTAGCAGCTTTTGCGGGTTACAGGACTGACACTGAATGTGAATCTTTCAGACAGGTCCGGTTCTACGTGAGTTTAAAATGTTTACGGGGCATTGATGAATAAGATGTCTGAGATGACAAAAAGGACAAAACTTGTGTGTTTACATCCTTTCCAAAAAAGTCAACTTTAAAAATGACAACTTAATCATTTATTTTAATGTTTCCAACCAGCCTATTTTTAAACTTTTTATTACATCATAAATGTTATTACTCTGACAGTAGCATAGAGACAGCAATATTTTCATAAATAGGTCAAAATATCTTAGAGTAAAAAATGTAATAATAGCACTGTAGATTTCACTGACTTAATCCCATCCAAAACTCATGAACACAATAATGCTAATCGCATATGATCTTTCAAATATTTGATTTACATCCCATTTAGAATCTCTCGCCTCTACCGAGAATTCCATACTGTCCCAATTATACAACTGTGAAATTTACAGCGGTATCACAGAAAGATGGAACCTGAGGCTGTATGGCCTACAAGAACAGGAAGGAAAAGGCCTTAAACAACATGATTGACATCTGTAAGGCATTCATTCAAAACCCCGAAGAGGATCTTCACTCCCAAATCAACGTAAGCTATAGGATCGGATGGAGAGAAGATGGCAAAACTTGATAACAAGATTTACATCCATGCAGATTGACCAAAGAAAGGGGTATGGAAATGTGCAAAGAATTCGTAATTCCTCAAAACAAAGAAGTTTGGCGAAGACTTAAAAACAAAATACAAAGAGATGACAAATAAAACTGTGGCCACAGATTGAAGAGGCAGGAAGGCAAGGAAAATGTCGCCTTCTTCTGAGCCAATGCCCTCATTGAGGGTAAAGAAATAAGAATGTAATGATAGCCATGACATGATGTTAAAGGGAAATTGTATTCTAAAATTACTTCTAGTGTAATTATAGTGCATTATTTTCTTTAAAAAATTTTTTTATTTAACTTCATATGGAAAAACCAAGCCTCACAAATGGAAGTATTTTCATTTAATTAATTAAATCAAGGAGCTCTGATTTTTTTTTTTCTTCTAATACAATTTTCATGTTGAACTTACATTAAGCATGAAGATAAGAGATGGTATATAATTCCAATACTTAAAAAGAAGAAGAAAAAAAAAACGGTGGTATAAACATTTTTTTTAGATGTGACTTTGAGGTCAATAAACTAAGAATAAATCAATCAACAATTGGCCCTAACGATGGGTTAATAAAAGGAGTAACCATTTTGAGACTATTGGAGATTGATTTGGACTATAATAATAACAAATACTGTATCAATAATACAGTTAATTAAATATACTTTAAAATTATACATATCATTTATTAAACAAACCAATTCCTAAAAGATATAAAACTGATCTTTCTGAATATTGTGTATTTTTATAAAATTGAAACTATTTTTTAACGTATGTATGTATGTATGTATGTATGTATTTATGTATGTAAAAAGTGTTTGGATTGATGTGGTACATTTATTTAATATGTTAAGTGCAATGAAAATTAACATTGGCTATAAAGTGATGCTATTTTTATAACGACAAAAAGATATAGTCAAGAGTCACATTTTAATGTTAAATCTTTAATTATTTATTGGTAAGTTGTACACACAAATGTAAATGGTCTGAAAAGAAACCTTATCACAGATTTCAAGGCAGACATAAAGACGTAGAGCATTATGGACATTTACAAATAAATAAATTCCTTTTTCTATTTTAATACACATAGGCCTATACCCTTTTCTGTCATATATATATATATATATATATATATATATATATATATATATATGAAGAGTTCAGATGCAAAAGCCTCTAAATGCCATTTGAAATTTTCTTCTTTAATGACGATTTTTATCAAACTTGTATATTTAAGTTCAGTAATTTCACTTAAATGGCAATGATAATTACCTATTAATTGTTATTTAAGTGAAATTACTGAACTTAAATATACAAGTTTGATAAAAATCATCATTAAAGAAGAAAATTTCAAATGGCATTTAGAGGCTTTTGCATCTGAACTCTTCATATATATATGAAGAGTTCAGATGCAAAAGCCTCTAAATGCCATTTGAAATTTTCTTCTAAAATGACCATTTTTATCAAGCTTGTATATTTAAGTTCAGTAATTTCACTTAAATGACAATTAATAGGTAATCTTCATTGCCATTTAAGTGAAATTACTGAACTCAAATATACAAGCTTGATAAAAATGGTCATTTTAGAAGAAAATTTCAAATGGCATTTGGAGGCTTTTGCATCTGAACTCTTCATATATATATATTTCATTTTTCCTCTTCTTCAATGTGACCTTATGTTAAAAATGCATTGATTTATGGTGCTATGGATTTCTGAGAGCATTAGGCCCATGTGGATCATTTGTATTTTTCGATATGTCAGGTTACAAGTGTGTTTTGTTGAAAAAAAAGTTTAAAACAGAATGCAAGACTTGCATGACAACAGTGAATGTACTGATGCGCCACCTTCTGTTCAATGCCAATTTTATTCTGAATAGGCCGAAATATGAAGGAAACAGTTTGAGCAAAACATTTAAATGATAAATTTCCATATATAACGTTACATATAATGAATTATGGGTGTATAAAAAAAGCAACAATATTTTGTAGCCATTTCATGAGTAGCTAGCATGTCATTTGAGAAATAAATTGTATTTTATCGGTATTGTATAACTGTTACCCTGCCGCTCGATTTAATTATCAGCACGGGTCATTAAAACTCCATTTCGAACGACCATTAAAATAAAATCACTTTTCTGTCATTTTTGTCAGGGAAAGATCAACAGACACCTTTAAATTTGAGAAATGCCCCAAACGTCATTACGTAGGCCCACTCTACTTACGTACGTACGGCGCGCGCTTGATATATATTTATGAAAATTGACGTCATCGGTCTCTTCCTGCCTGTGTCCCAACGTGGTTGGTGCTGTAAAAGAATTGGGTTCGCTGTTAAACGAATCCAAAAACATCAGGCAAAATGGTAAGTCGATATATGATAATGTTCAATTTCTGCGTTAATAACCTTCTAAAGTTTAACATTTTGTTACGATTTGAATGCTTGGTGTCACTGAATTTGACTTAAGAGTAAGGACGCTGTTCACATGTTGAGTGTTTCAGAAGCGGCTCATTTCATTCAAGTCCTGCTTAGTTAAGAAAATTATATGGACAGTTACTTATGTAAAGAATTAGTAAATTAATTGATAATTTCTAAGTCATTGTTAGCTTGTAGAGAAATTGTGAACCTATACCATTCGATCACTTCACTTTTCCCCCATTGTGCTGCTTTGCTTACTTCGTCAGCTTTACTGATTCTTTGCTTTGTTCAAATGGTGTCAGTAAAACGGTGAAACAAAGTGTTTTTTGTAATACATCCCCAAAGTGACACGTTGTTCTGCAGTAATGCCTTGTAGATTAAGTGTTTTTTGATTTTGCAAGTAAATTTTTATTAAACTATTAGAAATGCGTAAATGTAGACTTGTTTAAGGTGAATAACTGTTATATAGTCATCTGGAATTTTATTTTCAATATCCCCTCATTGATGCCACACTTTAGAGATCACATGGGCTATTAGCTAAGTCACTTTAAAAAACACCATGATAAAAGTGCATGTAAACAAACATATTACTGATACAAAAGCCACTACTTAGAAATGTGTAGGATTGAGGACCGCAGAGACTATTATACGAATGCAAGTATTATTTCACATGCTGTGATGCAATTAAGGAATGAAATCACATGGCTTTACTGTTTAAGTTAATTCATTTTGGCTGGTAAGTCGGTATATCATCCAAAACTAATGTGTTTAGGACTGAGTACCCTTTTAGGAAAATATCCTTATTTAAAAAATGTACCTTGTCTAAAATTTTACCTGTTTTCACATCCCTAGGTGAACTTCACTGTAGACCAGATCCGTGGCATCATGGACAAGAAGTCTAACATCCGTAACATGTCTGTGATTGCGCACGTCGATCACGGAAAGTCCACTTTGACTGACTCGCTGGTGTCAAAAGCTGGTATCATCGCCTCAGCCCGTGCTGGTGAGACCCGATTCACGGATACAAGGAAGGATGAGCAGGAGCGTTGCATCACCATCAAATCCACGTGAGTATTAAACGTTTTCATTCTAGACCTCGTGAGTTTTAACATTTGTTACCTAAATGTCTAAATCCTAATGTACAAATTGAGAATTGTGAGCGTGAACACTATGAGAAATTGATTTCATCCTTGTTTTCCCCCCACAGTGCCATCTCCTTGTACTATGAGCTCAGTGACAATGATATGGCCTTCATTAAGCAATGCAAAGATGGTTTAGGCTTCCTCATTAATCTGATTGACTCCCCTGGGCACGTTGACTTCTCTTCAGAGGTTACAGCTGCACTGCGTGTCACAGATGGAGCATTGGTGGTGGTAGATTGTGTGTCTGGTAAGTACATAAATTGTCATTGTGACGTTAAAATGGTGGTGTTTTGGTAATGCTAGACGGTAGGGTAGAACAGTGTTTCCCAACCCTGTTCCTGGCGGCACACCAACACTGCGTGTTTTCTTTGTCTCCCTAATCAAACACACCCGATTCAACCCATCAGCTCATTAACCCACCTGATTATGAGCTGATGGGTTGAGTCAGGTGTGTTTGATAAGGGAGACAAAGAATACACGCAGTGTTGGTGTGCCGCCAGGAACAGGGTTGGGAAACACTGGGGTAGAAGATGTTAGAGGACTAATCACTGGCATTCTGAAATGTTGCTTGAATCTGTGGAATATATGTATTGAAATGTCAAATCGCTGCCCTTGCAGGTGTGTGCGTGCAAACAGAGACTGTGCTCCGACAAGCCATTGGCGAGAGGATAAAGCCAGTATTGATGATGAACAAGATGGACCGTGCACTTCTGGAGCTGCAGCTGGGCCCTGAAGAGCTTTACCAGACCTTCCAGCGCATTGTTGAGAATGTCAACGTGATCATCTCCACCTATGGCGAGGATGAGCATGGACCCATGGGCAGCATTATGGTGAGTGCCTCATGGCTCGTTCATGGGCCTTTAAAAATTTAAAAGAGCAACTTCTGTGATATCGATGGGTTGAATTTAAGATTGACTGTCCTAAATATTTCTAAATCATCTTGCTGCTCTTAGATTGATCCAGTCGTTGGTACTGTTGGCTTTGGATCTGGACTGCATGGATGGGCCTTCACTTTGAAGCAGTTTGCTGAAATGTACGTGATGAAGTTTGCTGCCAAGGGTGAAGCTCAGTTGGGGCCAGCTGAGCGTTGCAAGAAGGTGGAGGACATGATGAAGAAGCTTTGGGGAGACAGGTGTGAAAGGAGGACGCAACAGAACACAACTTAATGAAATGTAGTTTTTCTTTATGTAACACTTGTGGCCATTGCTTGCAGGTATTTTGACCCTGCTTCTGGGAAGTTCAGCAAGTCTGCCACCTCACCAGATGGCAAGAAGCTTCCCAGGACTTTTGCTCAACTGATCCTGGACCCAATCTTTAAAGTGAGTAATCTGCTCTGAGTGGCAATGTTGTATTTGTTGTTCAAGCCATTAATGATGATTTTAATAATTCTTCACTTTGACCTGATTATCTTGATGAAAACTCTCAGTCTGATATGGCTGTTAACTGTACATAGATTTGTCTGCCATGTGCATATAGAAATGATACGGAGCTTTTAAATATTCCCACTAGGTATTTGATGCCGTCATGAACTTCAAGAAGGAGGAAATTGCTAAGCTAATTGAGAAGCTTGACATTAAGCTAGATGTTGAAGACAAGGAGAAGGAGGGCAAACCCCTGCTAAAGGCTGTGATGCGTCGCTGGCTGCCGGCAGGAGAGGCTTTACTTCAGATGATCACAATCCACTTGCCCTCACCAGTTACTGCTCAGAAGTACCGCTGTGAGCTGCTCTATGAAGGACCTGGAGATGATGAGGCTGCCATGGGTATGTTGTGCTAGAATCTGATCACATTTCTGTTAGAATGAACAATTTTCAAGGTTGGTTCTAGTCTGAATCTTCGGTTTTCTCAGGCATCAAGAACTGTGACCCCAAAGGACCTCTCATGATGTACATCTCGAAGATGGTTCCGACCACTGACAAAGGTCGTTTCTATGCCTTTGGTCGTGTCTTTTCTGGCTCTGTGTCCACTGGCCTGAAGGTTCGCATAATGGGGCCAAACTTTACTCCTGGGAAAAAGGAGGATCTTTACATCAAACCCATTCAACGGTTTGTGTTCATTTTTTTTTGCGTTCTTTTTTTAAACGAGCAACTCTTTTGTCACTGAAAAAAAAACTATAGTTAAGAGTTGAAATGACGTGGCTGTTTTTGTCTTTCAGGACCATTCTGATGATGGGCCGCTATGTCGAGCCTATTGAGGATGTGCCCTGTGGTAACATTGTGGGTCTGGTAGGTGTGGATCAGTTTTTGGTAAAGACTGGAACAATCACAACTTTCGAGCAAGCCCACAATATGCGTGTGATGAAGTTCAGTGTCAGTCCTGTGGTGAGAGTGGCTGTAGAGGCCAAGAACCCTGCTGACCTCCCGAAACTGGTGGAAGGGTTGAAGCGTCTGGCCAAGTCAGATCCCATGGTGCAGTGCATCATTGAGGAGTCTGGTGAGCATATCATTGCTGGAGCTGGTGAGCTTCATTTGGAGATTTGTCTGAAAGACCTTGAAGAGGACCATGCCTGCATTCCCCTCAAGGTACCATTGACTTATTTTGAGTTGCACAATTGGAGCAATATAAGATTCATACAGTATTTAATAAGCTGCTGGTCCTGCTTTGCAGAAATCAGATCCAGTTGTCTCTTACAGAGAGACTGTCAGTGATGAGTCCAAACAAATGTGCCTTTCTAAGTCCCCAAATAAGCACAATCGTCTCTTCATGAAAGCCCGTCCTCTGTCCGAGGGTCTTCCTGAAGATATTGATAAGGGCGAGGTCACTGCCAGGCAGGAGATGAAGGCCCGTGCCCGTTACCTTGCTGATAAGTACGAGTGGGAAGTCACAGAAGCTCGTAAGATCTGGTGCTTTGGCCCTGATGGAACTGGGCCCAACCTCTTGGTGGATGTGACCAAGGGAGTCCAATACTTGAATGAGATCAAGGATAGTGTGGTGGCGGGATTTCAATGGGCCACTAAAGAGGTATGAAAGTTAATTTAAATGCCATATGTTTTTAATCAAAAGTGTCCTCCATTTGAAGGCCAACTTCTTGAGTTTTGCTCCTGTACATCATCTTAGTACTTGAAGGTCCTGGAGACCTTGATTAGCTCGTGTTTAATTCAGCATGAAGATGGCCCTCCTGGAGCAAGACACTCTTGGTTTAGTTAAGTCATATTGCGGTTTCTAAAAGTGTTCTGCTTTTTAGGGAGTCTTGTGCGAGGAGAACATGCGTGGGGTTCGTTTTGATGTTCATGACGTGACCCTGCACACTGACGCAATACACCGTGGTGGTGGCCAGATCATTCCCACAGCTCGCAGAGTGCTTTATGCCTGTCAACTCACAGCTGAGCCCAGGCTTCTTGAGCCAGTGTACCTGGTGGAGATTCAGGTATGCAAGGAGTTCAAACATTTAAAAGCCTAGTTTTCCTTTTGGTCTGTACTGGACTTGTCATAATTGTACCTTACTTCCATCCAACTACAGTGCCCAGAGTCAGTTGTTGGTGGAATCTATGGTGTACTGAACAGGAAGCGTGGGCTTGTTTTTGAGGAGTCCCAGGTTATGGGAACACCTATGTTTGTGGTTAAAGCCTACCTGCCTGTCAACGAGTCATTTGGTGAGTGAAGCATAAAGACCTTTTTGTTGTCTTCTCTCTTCAATGCTTTTTAAGTTGCAAAGACTTAACTGTCATCTTTATACAGGTTTCACAGCTGACCTTCGCTCCAACACATCTGGCCAGGCTTTCCCACAGTGCGTGTTTGACCATTGGCAGATCCTGCCTGGAGACCCCATGGAAGCTAACACTAAGCCTGCCCAGGTTGTGGCTGACACACGAAAACGCAAAGGGCTCAAAGAAGGCATTCCAGCTTTAGACAACTACTTGGACAAATTGTAGATTTACATTCCTATTTTTCCCTCATAAAGAGGATCAGACAAGAACACTAGGAGATTGTTTACATGAATTAAAACATTAAAATGACCATTGTTTTTAAGATGCACTATGCATGCGTCTTTATTATGGACCAGCAGGCTAATGGTGGCTTTTCTCAGTTCCTAGTGGAATTTCAAGTTGATGTTTTGTGCTAAAACTCAATGTAATGAATTGGAAAATGTATGTTTATACTATATATTTTACAATTTATGTACTGTGTACATGACCTGTATACTAACATGGATATTCTCTACTTGCTGTAATAAAAAAAAAATTAGCAATCTACCTACAAGTTAATGTATTTCTGGAAATTTGGAAGCCTTTGACTCAAAAGAATGAAATATAAAGCATATTTGATAAGCAATTCAATGTCTCTTTTTTTTTTTCTTTAAGTGGTTTTTAAATGCTGCAGTGAAAAAGTATGTGTAATCACTCATTTTTGTGGGTATTTCTATATTCAGGGTTATAAGCTGTCTTCAGTTTACTTTTTAAATTAATGCACTAGGATTTCAGTCTGGTTCTTTTCATTTGATGCAAGAATTTTGTATACAGTAGGATTCAATAAGCTGGTTGAACTTAAGTACTGCAGTTCTATCCTGCCCTTTTTTGTGCCAGTTAAAACATGCTGTCTATTACTCAAAGTTGACAGATTGCATGTCAACTTTAACCACATGGCAATCACTTTATTAGTACATATTAAAATGTCATTGGAACAAAAATCGGCGAACATGACAGGTGCTTTAGTTTCAAAGCAGTCTGACTTTGTGGGCCAAAAGACCTACAGCCTTTTAAGAAACTCAAGATTCAACTTTTTACTTTGCTCAGTAAAGACCAAGTCATCAGAGCATTCTACCAAGTTTTGCATAAGCAACTGCTACGTCCAATTATTAAGTTGTTAGTATTGGCTATTGTGCATTCTGCATAAATTGTGACCAAAACTAGGGGTGCAGACTTTAATTAAACATACAGAAACAAGACATTATATTTACAGCGCTTACAAAGTAAGCATTGGTACATTCAAGAAGCTGTTTCCTGTTCATCTTCCTTATATCAACATCTCACGAAAATATGCAAATTCTGTAACAGATGTGTTCAGTATCTCACTGCAGTCAATACTTTAAAGATTTTATACATAGTGGCATCGTGAATGCAAGTGCTCTGGTTTATCGCTATTAACAAGATGGGCAACTATGGTAAAACATAAACATCTACTATTCACACTGCCATCAAAGAAATTAAGTTTCACCTCTATCAAGGGGTGCAGGCCACTCAAAACAGGTACATAACAGTCAATTTTACACTGATTTAAAGTCTTAATCAAGATGTAGTGTACTTTCCCAAAACTTGCTGTTGCGCCTGGAGCTTAAGTGCATCAGTGCGATTTGAAGGACTGATAATCATTGAACAATCAAGGGTCAAAAATAGGATCAAAAGAAACACCTGTTGTCAACATTCAAATAAACGGACAAATGGAAGAAAGTTGCCTTCTTTAGAGTTACCGAACTGTACCTGTAGTAGATCATTGCAATGACTGAGTTCAGCTATTTGTTCATTAATTAGCAATGACATTGGCTGGTCATAACATCGAAGTGGTACTATGAGGTGCTACTTGGGATAAAACAGAAACTGTACCCTAAGTACACTTTGAAGGACTGAATTCTCATGCTTCAAATCTTCAAACCAAAAAGCCTTTAGAAATGAGAGATCAGTATTTGGTCGCCGGTCTACATAAGAGACCAGTGAATTGGCCACAAAATGTAATGCAATAGTCCTCAATTATGAGATGATTCTGCTTGGTCATTATGTGTAGAAGATGACCTCTGGGATTTGTCCATCCTCTACGGAAGTGCCATTGTTGTTGCCTGCAGCGTAGCAGAATGTAAAGCAGGTCTTGGTACCAGTAGCGGGGGCTTCGTGTGTGACTTTACGCATCCCCTTGGTCCCATAATGAGAGTCTGGTCCCTGCAAAAGCATGAACCCATCAAAAGTTAATTTAAAATTCATATGAATGATTAAATTAAGTATATTTTGAATTATTCTTCGTAATTAAGCTTATTCTTTAGTAACAAAGGGGTTAAGGGATCACAACACTGCAAATTCGCTTGGCAAACTTGAACCCAATGCAAAATATGCTTCGGGACATCATCCACCCACATGCGAACACCCCTTCACACAGATTCCTATTGAAATAACTGGATTTCGGCACAATGAACCATGATTTGATGTCGGTGGCATGTGGCATTTATAATAGCATAATTGCACATAAATTACTTAAAAGCTTATAGACAAGCAAACTCTAATTCTGAGTCTGTTTTACCTTGAGGGTGGCGCAGGCAATGTAGTTGACGCTAGGAAGAATTTCCACAGGCTCCTTGAACATGACTCGGAAGGTACTGGCTGTTCCATCGCAGCTGAAGCCTGTGTCGTTCTGACCGAGAACTGTGTTGCTGTCTGTATGTATGATCTACATTATAGGAAAACATGCACCATTACCACTTGGCTACCGCCACATTTTCACACTTCTGAATACAAAACTTTAAGCACAAAAAACAAAAATCATTGCACAGCAAGACTTGCATCATAAAAATCAGCTTTTTTTATTGCAGCCTATTCTAGCCAAGAACCAACATTTATAGAAATTGCTTGCATCTCACCTGAATGTTAACTTGATAATCAGTTGGACCATGTATGGACCCATAGAGCCCAAATCCCACCACAAATATTCTGCGGTTCACCGAAAACCTGCGCACAACAGTTATTAGCATTTCCCCTATATCAGATAAATAAAATTGGTTCACAAGGTCCCTTTCAACATCATTTTCAGTCGATGGTTTTAAAAACACACGCTTACCGAATGCGGTCACTGGTTCCGCTGTAGCCCCAGCGGCTCTCCACCTGACTGAAACGTGTAATGCTGCACTCTTTCCCACGGAGGCAACAGCGCGGCCGGTCAATAAACTCCACATGTGGTTTCGGATTGACTGTAAAATGCAGGAACAAACTCACCACCTCCCGGTCTGTGAGTATACCAGACTGAGCCGGACCTATCGCACACATACACAAGGTTTAGTGCTATGGCTATTGAAACTCAGGAATTCTGTTAGCTAAGACCGGCAGTCGGCATCCTTTAGCAAGCGGAGGGGTAATCGCTGGCGCGTGACCAATAGAGAGAGGTAAATGCATTTCATTCATACCTCGTACTTGCACATAGATCTACATTTTGAGATAATCATTCCTCATTGTAACACAGCTTGTTTTATTAATTCAATGAAAGCACACAGCTCTGATAGAACTATTAGCGCGACCACTGCGCAATCACATGCACACAAGTTACTGACGGACACCTTGTTCAGCTGTACATAGTCAATGCTATACATTTCAGAGATATTCAACAAAGTATATTGAACTCTGTTCATGTGTAGCTGGTCAATATATGTTTTCTCTGACCCACTCAGTATTTCACTGGCCATTATATTGACAAATACCATCGGAAAAAACTGCCATTTTGATATCATATTGGCAGCAGGTTTATTAGGCAGCTGTCACTTTAAGACATGACACACAAATTTGCGTATTTTTAACAAAGGGATACTTCACCTCTGGAAAGATTAATGTGTATTTAACATGGGTCATTTATGTAGAAGCAATGTGAAATTATTTTTGAATTTGGAGCTTTCTAGACTGAGAAATGTAAATAATGTATTTTTGGCTTATGTGGATGAAAGACGACAACTTCCAGAATGCACTTGCTTCGCTGCCCTAGGAGTCCACGCCTACCGGTAAAAGAGCGCAGTGGTTAAATAACTACTAACATATTCATATATGGGATGGGGTGGGGGTGATTAAGTAAGAAACTTAAAAATGACACTTCATGACAAAAAGGTTGCCTTAGACAGTCAAGGGAAATACTGCAAATCCACTAGTCACGAAATTTTGTTTCATAATGTCATAATTGGCACAATACAAATACTTTTATTAGTTGGTAAACCGACATCAAGGTAAAAACCAATGGAAATTACCTGCCGCAAACTCTTCAATAGTCATGAGTGGGAAGCGAATAAGGGAAAGCGATTTTCCCAACACTCTACGCTTGTTCTCCGGCGTGGGCTGTAACTGTTGCCTTTGGGCCTCAGCGTCCGCCCAACGAACCGCAGCCACGAAGAGACGCACTTCCCGTACACCCAGCGTGTCTCTCTCCAGGACTGCCATGAGCGTGTCTGCACAGGAGGGAACAAAAAACGCTCTATTTCTAACTCCCTTTTCTGATTGTATTTTGTTGTGATATTTGAGCAAGCCCTTAAGAGCAATACCAAGGTCAATATCTGTGAAGCCCTCGGCGGCTAGTGCATCAGCCGTGTTCTTGTCGATATTTTCTAAGCAGAGACTAGCCAGCTGGGGCTCGTCAAAAAGCCGTGCCTGAAAGCAAAAGGAAACATGTTTTCGTGTAATCTATAAAAGATTGTGCACAAAAAGCAGACAACAAACACACTCAGCAAGCACCAGGCTTTGTTTGATAGAATTAGAAAGGGAGCTGTCAAACATGGCGGGACTCAAGACGGCCGTGGGCCCACCTTGAACAAAGGTGGCGTTCAATATGTCAGTTCCAGGGTGAACATGACTCAGACACAAAACCCCTGTGATTACCTGGGTAAGCAACATAAACGCATTGTCAGCACGTAGATTTTTCTTCAAGAATTCGACGCAGTGGGCCTCGAGTGCAGGTACTGCGTACTTTTTGGCTGTGTACAGTGTGGTCATAACGGTCTCCGGTCCAATTTGCACTTCATCAGAGTATAAAAATCTGTATTTGCAAAAGGGAAAAAAACAATTTGATTCACAGAAAGACATAACCAAGCCATCAGACAGACAGACAGTCAAAACAATAAACAGACTAAGCCTGTATCGATCAGAACATAGGGCAGACAGATATAAATAGACTAATAGAGATATACATATATTGATCCCTGTTTAATAGTGGCATGAGACTACTTCTGTCCACAGTGTGGTTCATTTTCCCTTCACAAACATTTTCCATGGTAATGATTTCCACCAAATTATCATAGTTACAGCCACAATAGTTTAAAACTAAAGACAAATAACCCAAAAGCTTCTCGCATGGTTGTAGGAGATTAACAGTAACTGTGTGATATATCGGTGGAAACACTGGTGTATTATATAATGCCATGATAAACGTTTGTAAGGGTCTGCCGAAATGCAGTTCAATGGCAGAGGGCACCTGAAGGACGTTACGACAACAGGGGTCAACACACAGAAGAGCAGGACAGAGCATTATGCGTGCAGCGAAGCATTACGCGGCCCTTTCTTACTTGAGAAGGGCTAGAAATGCAGCCGGTTCCACATCTG